ATAGTTCTTTTATAACTTTCTTAGGATAATTCCTATCCTAGAATATAAGGTTAAGCTAACTAATTATATAATCTAGATTAGCTTCTATTATAGTATGGTTCTGGGTATACTAGTCTATCTAAGAGCTTATTATAGTTATAGCCTAGTCCTTAAGCCTAGTGAAGGCATACTATATATAGTTATAATAACTACTAAATATAAAGTAGTTAACTTCTAGCTTCTATAGTAAGTTAGAATAGAAGATATTATATATAACCTTATTAATACTATTAAATTAGTTAGGGTTAGATAGAATTAGTTTAGGCCTTCTTACTAGTTTATTTATAGATGTAGTAGCAAGAGTAGGTACTATAGAAGTTATCTAAGTAGTAGGTATTACTACTATAGAAGTAGTATCTATTTAGGGAGTAGTAGCTATCTACTATACCTTTATTTAAGCTATTTAATTTATAATCTCTTATAACTATTAGGCTATTTAGGCTATAGGGTCTATCTATGCAGCATTCTATTACTATATATATCCTTTACTTAGTCCTTCTAGTGATGTTAATATCTGTAATAATATATTATTATAGTTTATACTATCTATACTATCCATATCATCTATTTTAGCTATTATAGATATCTAACTATTTCATCTAGTTCTGCTTAGCTAGTTCTATGGTTCAGCTGTCTCTTACTAGTTCTGTCTGACTATCTGATTTAACTAGTTTGTCTAGTTTGTCTAGTTTATCTAGTTTATCTGGTTCGTCTGGTTTGTCTGGTTCTGTCTAACTATCTAGTAGCGAGTAATTTCTAATATCATAGGCTAGAAGCCTTATAAATCTATAACCTAGATTTAGATGGTAAGAAATCACTAAAGGGTTCTAACTAGGGCTGTAATAGCTAAACATAAAAAGGGGTATGCAAATAATAGATAAGATTACATAACCAGATTAATTACTATATTAATTACTATGAGGTCATGTGACTGCTGGTGTCCTTACTAGACAGGAGTTCATTAGTGCCTAAGGCAGATCACAAGTGCCTAGTAGGCTCGAGCACTCAGCGGGCCCTGCCTGCTACACTATTAATTCCTAAATATACCTATAAGTCCTGTGTAGTAGCTAATATAATAGTCTATAAGAGGTATATTACTATATCTCCTATTAAGTAATACAGGGAATATATCTTTATTAATATAGGTAGTAGCTATAATAATATACTAGATAACTATATTACTAGAGCTTACTACTAGATAATTATTATAGATTAGTTTAATAGCTAGGTTACTATTTAATTACTTAAATTTAGATACTAAGTAATACTACTTATTAAGCTCTTTATTAAAGAAGAGGAGCATGTAGGTATTAAGGTATAGATTATTTATACTAATAATAAAGAAGAATTTATTAAGAAAGAGAATTAAGTATAGGCTAGAGCTAAATTAATTAAATAGGAACTTATAGTACTATATATTTATAATTAGAACCCTATTATAGAATGCCTTATATATACTATATTAATAAAAGTATATGCTGTTATTAATAATAAAACTATTCTATATAAACTCTAGGATGAAATTATAAAGGGAGTTATTCTAATTAAGAATATTTTATCTATTTAAGGTAAGAATATAACTCTATATAAAATATACTTTAGTAAATATCTAGATATTAGCTCCCTGTAGATCTTAGGTTTAGTTAGATATCTTACTATTACTAATAAGATTAAATCTAAGTAGGGTATTATAAAGATTAATCTATATACTATTTACTACTACTTAGTTAGCTATACTAGCCTAGGTAAGTAATATATTATCTAGATATTAGTAACTAATAAAGTTAAATATACCTATAATATTATCTTTAAAGAAGGAAGTAATCTAGATCTCTATAAAGATCTAGATAATAATTATAGAAAATTTATTAATCTACTAGCTATTCCACCTACTAACTGCAATCTAAATAAGGTTATATATAATAATAATTTAGATTAAGATATTATTAAAGGCTAGGATCTAACTATATCTAATCTATCTAGACTAGAGGATAGCATCCCTATACTATAAATATATATAGAGGCAGGTCCTAGTATTACTAAGGATATTAACTTCCTGTATAGAGGTCTTTTTAATAAGCTAGTAAAAGACCTTCTAGAATATTCCTAGCTAGAAGTAATTTAGCTTATGGAATAGGGGGTGTATTATATTAATACTAAGGCTATAGAGAAGTATATATAGAATTATATTATTACTAGGTATATATATATTAGTAATAATTATATTAATATTATTAAGCCTTCTTTCTTTTATAAGGTAATTAACTCTCCTAAAGTAGATAATTAGTAGAATACTATAAAAGTAAAAGTAGATAATCTTATTAAGTAAGATACCTAGGTACTTAAGGCCTTACCTACTAGCTATAAGACTATTAAGGGATATTAGGTCTATAAGATTAAGATTAGTACTAATAATAAAATTATCTAATTTAAGATAAGATAGATTACTAAAGGCTATATCTAAATATCTAGAGTAGACTTTAACTAGATATTTTCCTCTACTATAAAGCTAGTAACTATCTATCTATTCTTTATATTTATAGCTATCTTAGGTTATTATTATATTAAGGTAGATATTAAGCTTACTTTCTTATAGGGTAAATTCTTTAATAGTAAAGTTATCTATATAAAGTAATTACTAGATTTTAATAATAAGTCTAGCTATATATATAGATTATTACTTCCTTTATATAGATTAAAGTAGTCTATATATATCTAGTATCTTATCTTCTATAGTAGAGTTACTAAGATTAGATTATAGCTATCTAAGATTAATAAATATCTTTTCTTTAATATCTATAGCATGTTCCTTATCTTATATATTAATAATATAGAGATTACTAGACCTTCTAAGTAGATTACTAAGGGGGTATATAAGGCTATTAGTAAACTATTTAATATTTTACTTATTAGCCTAGCTACCTATTATCTAGGTATAAAGATAGACCTAGATATTAAGAAAAGATAGATTAAGCTATCTTAATATACTTATCTTTAATATCTTATTAATATATTTAATCTATATTTAGTTAAAACTATAGTAATACCTATAGAAGAAGATACTTAGCTAGTTAAATTAGATAAGCTTATTAGATATAATCTTAAACTTAAAAAGAGATATAGAGTAGGAGTTAGCTTAATTATATATTTAATACTATAGACTAGGCTGGATACTATCTTTACTATTAGGAAGCTAGCTAGATATACTATAAATCCTAATAAATTATATCTTAAGTATCTTATTTATCTTATTTAATTCTTCTATTAGATCCTAGATATTAGAATTATCTATAAGCCTTATAATATAAAAGATATTATATATAAGCTAGGTATTATTATTAGCTATATTAATATAGATTATATAGGATATATTAATATATACTATTTAACTACTAGATATATCTTTATATTTAGTAATAAGCCTATCTTATAGACTTTTAAGCTATAATTAGTTATCTCTTTATCTATATATAAGGCTAAATACTTTACTATTATTTATACTATAAAGAAAGCTATCTAGCTTATCTATCTTCTTAAAGATATTAGCTTTAATAGTATATACTCTATATAGATTAATACTAATAGCTAGCCTACTATAGACCTAGCCTATAATACTTAATTCTATGCGTGTAGTAAGTATATTAATATTAATTATTATTAGATTAGAGATATAATAGTTAAGAAGTAGGTCTTCCTATAGTATCTTTTAATAGATAAGATAATTATAGATCTTATAATAAAGCTACTTAGTTATCTAAAGTTTAATTAATTCTTTAAGGTACTAGGCTTAGCCTAGTAGAGTACTATAAATAGTAGATCTTAATATTATAATTATAGATTAACTACCTAATTAGGAAGTGGCTACAACCTTATTAATTAAATCTAGGGGTATATAGCTATACTTAGTATGATAGAGATCTAATTATATGATCTCACTTAGTAGATAACTCCTTCTACTATATAATAGTAAACATAGATTTACATAATAAATTAACGAAATATCTTCATATTCTGAACCTCTCTCTGCTCATTCTACAATTTGCAAATATGAATGATCGAATCAATCGCCCTGTGAAAGCTGCCTGTTTAGCTTGGTATGTGTTATCTTTGCATATTTTTGACAAGCACTGAGGATCCTCCCAGTTGCGCTTCAAAAACACACTGTGATGGACAAAACCCATGCCAACCAGTATGCCGCGTGCCTTACTGTTACTGTTTAACTAGTAAATTTCAATCCGCTAATGCCAGACATGTTATAAAGTGCACATTAAGAGATCGCATCTGCACCTACAGACCCAGTAGAAGGGGCGGGCCTCGTCGAGGACATCGACAGCCGGCTGTCGAGTCTAGTCCGCTACCGCCACAGGCCGCAGCAATAATCCATGCTCCGCAGTCTACGCCTTCACTGACAGATGAGTTCACTCTCACGCCCGTGGACTCCAATCTCTGGAGTCCAGCGACGCCTTGTTCCTCTCTTGGCAGGAATCAGGATCCAAACCGGCCTGTAAAAGACGTTTGGTCCCCACCGCATACGGACTCACAAGGAGAACTCCAAGGGCCGGTTCTGCGGGTCTATACTTCCGAAGAAGAAATGTACGTACCGAAAGGACATTGTTGATCAATGCAGCTGGGAACTCTCGAATTACTAACTGTGGAATGCTCGGTGTCGACGCAGACAAAATGCCTATTACCATTTTGTCCATCCATGTCTACCTTTATTGCCCCCTCCGTCCAGCTCGTCTCTGCCTCAAGACAATCCGCATGTTTTCCAGCCCTCACATGGACTGGCCGGCACAGTGGAGCTATCCTGTCTGCCTTACCAGCCGACGTCCTCGTTGAGCCTAGCATTATCTGCCATTCTGGCTTTGATACCACCTCCGCATGATCGGAATCAATCCGAACCCTGCAGTGTGTGGCTACGACGGTCTTATGCTCAGCTCTTTGCGCAAGCCGCTCTCCGTATGGCAGAGAAGGAGATTGAGGACTTTACAGGCGGCTGGGCAAACTCCGATGGTTTGGTAGAAGGCCGAGATTTCCATCCGCAATTACCGACGCAGTTGCACCCGATTCTGGCTCTGATCGTCCTCAGTGTATATGACTTGTGTCAACGTGGCAATAAATCACGCATGCGGATGCGCGCTAATCAAGCCATTACGACAGCCATGGATTATTCGCTTCACCAACTCGACGAGAACGCAACAGAAGCACAGCGTCGAGCATGGTGGTCTGCGGTTTGTGTTCTCTGACCAGAAATGAACAGTGCAGGCTAATGACTCAAACAGGTCATCGTGATGTACCATTCGTCGGCCAACAATGACTCGGTAGGTTGAATTGCAAATCCGGACGTCCTACAGGCACGCAAGCTCTCTGACGATTTAATAGTCACCCATCATCAGCATCAGTGATCCGAGAATAACCACTCCGTATCCTAGATTTGATATTCAGAGTAAAGTCTCAGAGGTAGTAGACTTCGTTCCAAGCATTTCCATGGTGAACCCATCACTTTTAGCCTGTGATATGGCTAACATTCACTAGCCTTGGTCGCTCTTACTGAAAGCTCAGGATGCCATCGTCTCCGTCTGCGCTGTGATGCGCCCGCTAACCGCGAAGAGCCAAAACGGCTCACCGGCACTGGATCTCCGGGAGCAGGCTTGTCGCCTCGACAGGCACATACTATCGTTAGCGGCGGACTGTGACCACTGTCACCTGGAGTCAGGAGCAGCGGAAAATGATCAAGCCGAAAACCTGGCCGCTTTGAGCCTTTGGAGGACCGCTTGTGCCATGACTCATACGTGGGTGACCTGGTCGAATCTGTCAAAGATTGGTAACTGATTGGATTGATGTGCCAGAGCCCGAGTCAAGCTCCATCGCTACAGAGCCTTCTCCGATATTCCCATATTTCTGGAGAAGCATTGTGACCTTACCTTTCTCAAGCTGGACGCTTTTCCATCGCAGACCGCCTCACTTCCGGCGCAGTCGGATCTAGAATCAATCTTTCCCTTCACCCAGACCGAGTCATCGATAGTCTGCTTAAAGTCATCCCTTGCTATTTCGCGTGCCCTAGTAGGCCTACCACACTCAGGACTTTTGCCTCTGCGCACAGCAGAGCTGGACGAACCAAGAATCAACTCCAACGCCGCAGGCTACACCGGATCCCTACCATTTTTTAAATGTGCCGCAATGCAGGCCTCCTACGTGTTGTATATGTTGGTGCACCGGCTCCGGGCGGCGCTGTCATCAAAACGCCTTTTGGTTTGCTATCCGCTTCTGAACCACCCGGAACCCGTGACCGAAGTTCAAGACGCTAAGCGATTGATAGAGGAGCTCCGCAACGGGGCTCATTCTATGATTGTCTGCATGAAGCGGGACTTGATCTTTGAAGGTATTGGCGGCATGATACGTGATCTTGATGCAGCCTATTTCTCTCTGTTTCTGGACTAAGTCACTTTATTGGGGTAAATCTCCTTCTAATCGTGCAATCAAGAGCGCTAGACGCTTCGCCATCAGCTGAACGTGGGACGGATCCTCCACAAACCCTCTTTCCACAAGACGCGAAAGAGGTATCGCAGTTTGATTGTATCTACCATGGTATCGATATTCCTACTAGGTGGTGATTCGATATCTTCAAATTTGTAGCAGCTTCCATTTGAATGAGGATAGGCGGGTTATTCTGGCAAAGGCACCATCATGTTGTCTTTTTATAAACAATCGTCATAGCTGGGACTTGCAGCTTAATTCGATATTTTTCTTTCTTTTTTCGCTCCCTCTTTCGTTCCCAAACTCAAGCCCATTTGCTGGTGCTTCGACCCACCGGGTGCTCGGTAAAGAATTGACACTTCGATTGTTCCTCCCAACCATCTCAGAAAATAGTCTCGACGAATCTCCTAAAGTCCTGGGCGGTGATGGCGATATCGGTCTCATTCGCTGTGGGTGCCCTGTCATACACGGCCCGGAAAGGCAAAACCATCGGGGCGCCGGTCATCCCGGTTGGGGTAACGACAACCTCTTGAGCCGAGTAAAGCTGCTGGGTAGCAGCTGGCTGATTTACCAGAGGAGGTCTGTGGACGGGCCGTGAGCGAAGTGTGGCGACGTACGCTGGGGGTGCCGGGTTCGGGGCGTTAGGCGGCATCAGCATCCATTTTTCGAATGTCACCCGACCTCTTTTAGCGCTGACAAGAACGATGATCCTGGTTTGGCCATTGGAATTGTTAAGCCAGAACTTGGCATCGGAACGCAGCTTGGCCATGGACTCCGAGACTCCTACCTCGACGACCAGAGTTGGCCATCCTCGGGTCTGTCCCTGAGCCCCCTGTCGCGACGGGGGAGTGAATCCCTGGTCGGCTTGCTTTCCCCTGTTGTTGCCTGGCTTGTATGTAGTAGTGCCTATCCATCGTCGTTCCCAATAGGGGATGCCCATATTTTGGAGATCAGAGGTAACCTTCGAGGTGAAATCATTGATCAGGTGTTCGTGGGTAAACCCTGGGATCACTTTGATTAGGCCAGTAGATCCCTCCCACTCAAAGCGAAAGTCGACACCTCCAAGACATTCCTTGTCATTGTCTAAACGCTCAATTGCTTCTTTGGTGAGTCCCAAAACCAGAATCCATTGGTTACCGTCACAATCATTTGCCTGAAGGGTCTGCAGAACGCTGTGGGCAGCTTGCTGGAGTTGTTTGAAGCTCGAGTAGGTTCTGGTGATAGTCGAAGTAACGCCATCAGAGAGGCGGTATTCGCCCGTTAAGACTGTGGGATCACTCTGATGACGATTCATGATGGTCGCCCTGGCTGTCTGTAGAGTGGATTGGAGAGACGGGGCAGAGAATCAAATTTTTCCTTTGAGGGAACTAATAGGTATTTGGGAGATTGGGAGGTTGGTAGATTCAGGCTTCAGGTTGAGGTCTGAGAGTTCAAATCCATAAGGTAATGTTGATGGACTGTGAATTTAGTGAAAGAATGAGATTAAGCAGAATGAATTTAAGCAGTGAAGAAATATATAGTTCATACCTGTATAATTATATTATTATGAGCACAATGTAATTCACTAATGATATAGTGAATGGTCAATATTACGAGCAGGAGAGAAAATTAAAAGTAAAGTAGAAGTTGAAGTCATTACTACTACTACTTTACCTTCACCACCTAGATTACCACTTTTAAATTGCAGAGTGTTGCGTGGTAGACTATGACTCTATGAGAAATAATGAGATAATATGTTATCAAAATATTATACCACTAGGCCAAAAGGGTGTCCGACTATATCCCAGTCAGGATAGGGTCTCATATCTGTAATCATAGCGGTATTCTATTTCTAACACACCTCCCCAGGGATCTGCGGCTGTCTGGGTTGGTTCAGGTCTAACTGAACCACCAGTTTCATCCACAAACCATCCAGAGAACATGGAACGAAAACGTCGCAACGGCCAGCTCCCCTCCTGCGAGCCATGCAGGAAATCGAAATTGGGGTGCGACCATTCAACCCCAATATGTAACCGCTGCCTCCGGCGGGGTCGAACGAACGAGTGTTTTTACCACCCTGCCCCCCTCACGAGACCCCGCCAACACAATGCAACAGTACATAGCCAGAACCAAGACCCGAGCGCAAGTGATAGCATTCGCGACTTGTCTGTATCCTCCACGGTCTCTGGATCCTCAGCAACGTATCACCCTGCACCGCTCACAAAACCTCGAGAGCGCAAGGCAGCAGCGATTCGAAAACCCAGGCAGAAACCAACCCATAGTCCAGGCCAGAGCGCAAACGTCAGCGTCAGTGCAGGTGTCTCCCCCATCGGCATTCGCGACGTGTCTGTTTCCGTATCCGGATCAGTCTCTGCGTCCCCCCTGGCGATTGGCGAGTCGCATGCATGGGAGAAGCGACCATTTGCCAATCCAGGCTTTCTGGGACTGACTAGCTACTCTGATAACGTCACGGGGTATGCCGCGGTCTTGGACCATGCGATGCGGCCGCGCGACAGTGGGGGTTCGGGGTCGGGGTCGATCGCGGCGGTCGTCGACTTGAGACAGGTGGAGCTGGGGGCACAGGTGCTGCTGCTTTTAGATCACTTGCCGCTGTTTGAGGAGCTTCTGGAGAAGCGGTTTGCTATCTGGGAGGGATGGATCTTCAGCACCCAGATGTTCCGGTGCATCATCAAAGTACTTCGAGATCTGTATCGCGATGCTACGGATGGTGTGGTGGACAAGTATGCGTCTGTGCTGGAGCTGTCGAGGACGTTTTTCCGCAATACGGCCACCGAGATCGAGTTGCGTGCTTCGATGACGCTGTCGGAGTATGTAGCGCTGAGTGGTGCCCGATGGGACAGCTATGCGCTTCTGCTTTCATCGATAGGGTATGCGATCTACCATGTTGCGCATGATGATCCGCTCTTCCAGAGCGAGAACCTCCCTGGCAAGGATATGAAGGGGTTACGGCAGATTGCGCTGGCAGCGAGCGATATTTGTCTACAGTTATGTGATAGGTTGGGGACGATCAGCGATAGTCTTTGCTGCGCTACTCTTCAGTTCTCGGTCTTGGTTCATCATACATATGGCACAAGTGGTAGGTCTTGTACTCAGTTTGGGGATCAGAATCTAGACTGATAAAGGACAGATTACAGAACGTGGCAGAAACTCGGCGATCTTACTACGATTATCTTTGCTCTGGGCCTTCATCAGGCGGGAGACGATAGAAACATCCCTTTTTTCCTATCCGAGTTGCGCAAGAGGATCATGATCGGGGCGTACGGGATGGACAAAGACCTGGCGCTGTTCCTCGGTAGGCCGCCCCGGATATGCAGACAGTACTGCAATATCCAGACCCCGCTGGACCTGACTTGGGAAGAGTTGATTGCCCCACCAAGCGTGCGGCAGACTGCACTCCTGAAGCCGGATGCGCAAGGCTGGAATACAGAGGGGAAACTGGGCAGCGGGGCAAGAGGACGTACCATCCATCTTGCCTGTTTGATTCGAGAGGATATCCTAGAGTTGTCGATTGGCCAGGGACGCGACAATGTAGAAGAACATGCTGAGTGAGTGCTTCGGCCGCTTTGCGCTTGTGGGATCAATCTCCGGTACTGATAATAGCCCGATAGGAGAGTCCTTAAGAGAGCACGCCAAAGGCGCTCTGAACTGCCCGCCTTCCTGCAATGGGACCCTGAGTCGGCCGATCCGGAGCTTGCAACATTGCATCTGGAGTTTCTGCACCAGGACTTCCTAATCTATTCGACCCTTGTCAAACGAATAGGCAAGGGTCACGATGCATTGATCAAAATCTCTCTGGAGATCGTCACCTGTTTGCTTGACTTGGTCTCGAGGCAGATGCGATCCCTCAAGACTCACATGTTGACGATCCTCGATGTAAGTGTTCTACCTCCTCACTGTTCACCGCTGATCACCGCTGATTATACACAGCTTTGCTATATAGGCCTTCCTGCTGCGGGTGCCTTAGCGACCGAACTACTCCGACACTCCCAGCCAAAACTTGAGCCAGTGCTCTCTTCCGCACCGTTTCCTCGCTCGGAGATCATTCAAAAGCTGAGCGTCTTCATCTCGCACGCAGACACCTTCATCCAGCAACACCAGGGGGATTATGAGATTGCCTTGCAAGGGCAGATGCTCATCAGACAAGTCCTTGATCGTGTACTATCGCCCACGACAGACCAACCCTTTCCGGATCCTTCCATCAACGGAATGACGATAGGAGATGATGTTGATTTTATGGCCCTGCTGGAGAGTTTTGACTGGGAGCAGGAAATCCGCCCCACCTTCAGCTGATGGGAAGCGTCTAGCGCTCTGGATTACAGGATTAGAAATATATTTACCCCAATAAAGTGACTTAGTTTGGAAACAGAGAGAAATAGGCTGCATCAAGATCACGTATCATGCTGCCAATACCTTCAAAGATCAAGTCCCGCTTCATGAATAGAATTCTAAAGTCGGAGTTCGTATCTGAAAATATATAATACCACTATGACTATGGATATGAGACCCTAGACTGATGAGGACCATGTCCGGACACCCTTTTAGCCTAGTGGTATTATAATTTGATAGATACGAACTCCGACCCTTCCAATCCCGAGTCCCCGACAAATCAGCACACACTCCTTTCACCAATATGACAACCCGACAGCTCCCCTCTCAACTGGTTCGATGTTCAACTCCGAGGATCAAAAATGACGAAATCTGTATGCCTGGGACAATGGAATATAAATATGTGCATGATTCAAGGTCTAAAGACACAGACTGATATCTATAATCAACGAAAGAACACAGATCAACTGACCACATCTTCATCATGCCTTTCTCCATCTCAAACCCCTTCAAATCATCCAAATCGCAGCGTCAGATGACAGAGAAAGCCCAGAAATGTACCAAGGAGGACTCGTCATCTGTCTACAGTGATGCTGCTACGCTGGTAGCTGGCAAAGAACAGTCAGCAAAGTCGGCGCCAGAATTTCAAAACCAGAGGCAGCTCGATTTTAGTTCTATGCGATATAGTACGGCTCCCTGATATCCGCTTTCGTTGTTGACTGATCCTAATGCTAATATTTGAATCTTGGTATAGCCCCAATGGGAATGTGTCCTCGTTCCTAAACTGAGTGACAACCATATGTTCGATGAATGGATGAGGTAGACGGCAGTGTGGATTGACGAGAATGATTGAATGACATGTTACTTCCGCTGTGGACCTGATGCTACAACTCTATTTATGACAATATACTATGCAAAAGTTAATAATCATGCATACTGCTTGAAAATACTCCTGACTTGCTTCTCTAGATCTGGAGTATATACGTGCCGGAATGCATGACTTGAATATGTAGTCAAAGCATTGTAAAGACAATCTTATCAAGTCTATATATTCAGCCGATCTGTATTTTCTCCAACTACGGAGTAATTCCCAGCTGGATCGGTCTAGAACCATGTCAGCATCAACCCCAATGGCGCCACATCAATCGGCAGTCGGGCCCAGCCGAGGTATTCTAACCCCGCGTCTAGGCATTTAAATAGAAATACTTGAAGGAAGATATACACCTCCATCACTAACCAAGCATTCAAAACCTACCACCAAAATGCAAGCAGTGATATTCAAAGGCCCATTGGAAGTCGTGCTCGAAACGCGCCCTATCCCCCAGATCCAGGATCCCACAGACGCAATCATCAAAGTCCGCTACACGACGCTATGTGGCAGGTCAGACCCCTCCCCGCCCTTGCCATAAAAGATAGAAAATAACAAGATGCAGTGAACTCCACGTCTTCCGCGGGCACCAACCCTCCAGCACAGGCTTCATAATGGCCAACGAATTCACCGGCGAAGTCACCGAAACCGGCGCTGCAGTCCAGAACTTCAAAAAGGGCGATCGCGTCGTCGCACCCTTCACCATCAGCTGCGGCGAATGCTTCTACTGCGCCCGGGGGTGTTCCTCGCGCTGCGCCAAGGGGAAGCTGTTTGGCTCCGCGGTGCTGGACGGCGGACAGGCGGAGTATGTGCGTGTCCCGCTAGCGGATGGCACGCTGGTCGCGGCGCCGGCCGCCGTGGATGAGAAGAAGCTGGTTCTGATGGCTGATATCTTCCCGACGGGGTACTTTGCTGCGAGAAATGCGTTCCGGGGATGGGAGGAGGAGGTTGTGCGGGGGAGTACGGTCGTGCTGTTTGGGTGTGGGCCTGTGGGATTGTGTGCGCTTATCAGCGCGCTGGAGTATCGACCTGCGGCTTTGATTGCGGTGGATAGTGTGCCGGACAGGCTGGAGCGAGCGGGGAGTCTGGGTGCGGAGGCGTGGAATTTCCAGACGGATGCGCAGGGGCTGCGGGAGAGGGTGCTCGAGTTGACGGATGGGCGGGGGGCGGATGTGGCTATTGAGGTTGTCGGGCATAGCAGTGCGTTGCGGATGGCGTTTGAGTTGCTGCGGCCGTGGGGGCGCATCTCGAGTGTGGGTGTGCATAACGGGGAGATTCCCTGGACGGGGAACGAGGCGTATGGGAAGAATCTGCAGATTCAGATGGGGAGGTGTCCTGTTCGGAGCATCTTTGGCGATGCGTTGGAATTGCTGGTGAAGAAACAGGATTCACTGGAGTGTGTATGCAGTTTCCTTCTGATGGCACGGCTGACCATGTCTAGGTTCATGACTGCTGATATTCGACCGCTGTCGGAAGCTATCGCAGCGTAAGTCCTTTGCTTATCATCTGGACCATGCTAACAGCTGTAGGTACGACGACTTTAATCAGATGAAGTCCCAGAAGGTGATCTTTGAAGCTGGAAAGCAATAGAAGTAAGGTTATTATGCTCGCAAGGAAGCGCTCCATATATATGCGAATTACGTATATACCAACAAGATATGCCACATTCCCAGTAGAGCTCAACCCTGACGACTCTGACGTCTCGTCTGCTCCTTTTGTGCCCTCTTCTGCCGACATCGAATCCCATAGAACATCATCCACCACAAACACCCGGTAGACAGCACACATATCAGGGCCAGGGTCGTATACGCCCACCCATGCCCCATGGCGTTCGTCATGGGCGCAATGGCGGCCGACGCCCCGGCACCCAACTCACACCGAAACAGATTATTCGCCGCCGTCGCAGCAGCAGACCGTTTCGGCCACAGATCCACCAAGAGCGCATTCAACACCTGCGAGGCGCAGCTCAGACCCAACGAGAAGAGGAACAGAAGGATCACCGGACCGGCAAGATGGACCTTGTGGTTCATCACCCACCCGTAGGCGATCATCATCACGCAGCAGATGTAGAAAGCCGGCAAGGCGATCTCCAGCCGGGCTCGCTCAACGTTGAAGTTACTGAGATCGCTCTGTTTGCGTTTGTCGACGGGGAGGCAAGCACGGATAGCATGGCGGCGGTAGTTCCAGTCGACTAGGGGGCCGGTAACAAAGGAGGAAACAATTCCGCCTGCGCCGATAGGGATGTACATCAGTGCGGACTGGATATCGTTGAAACCATAGATCTCATGAAAGGAGGTGGATGCGCCGGTCATGACGGCGTAGAACCCGGCGAATACCAATCCTGCGGCGAGGAGGATCAGGCCTGTTTCGAGTTCGAACGCGATGAGGAGAGTCGGGAGGGGGTTGGGGAGCTGGAAGCGGTAGTTCTTGCGGTATTCGGCAATTGTCGCTGGGTCTGCTGCGAGTCCAGCTCTCTTGCGACGACGATGTCGGATTATATCGGTGACATTGTTGTTCACAGGCGGCGGGGGAACGGATCCATCACCAACGACTTTGCGACAGGTTTCGGGGAGGAACAGGAGCAAAATGGCAAAGAAGACAGTACTGAAGATTAATAAAAACCAGAAGATCCAATGCCAATCCAGATACTGGCTGATCAGACCACCAATGATAGGGGAAAGAGACGGACCCAGCATGAGCCCGATCGATGCAAAGGCAATGTATGAGCCTCGTTCGGCGGAAGTGATCATGTCGCCGACGAGGCCATTGGACAAAGCGACAGTGCCACTGCTTCCGGCACTCTGGATGCAGCGAAGCACCATCAAAGCTGCATAGCTGTTCTGGAGCGAAAGACCGATGTTTGCAGCGATGTAGATGGTGAAGCAGATGATGTATGCCGGCCGTCTACCTACTTTATCTGAGAAGCCAGCAATCAACATAGGCGAAGCTCCTTGAAGAAGCTAAGCAAGTCAGTGATCTCGTCCAAGACTTCTTATTTGACGATACGTACCAGATAGGTTGTAACAGTAAGATTGATCTTGGTGATAGATACATGCAGCGAGGAAGCGATAGTGTCTAGCGCCGGGAAATAGATACTGGAGGAGAGCGGGGAGAAGAAACCGGCCAGGGATCCCATCAAGACAATAGCCCTCTTCTCGTTGGTGGTGAACACGGAGAAATCCTTGGGGGAATCATTTTGACTGGGTTGTGTCTCCTTGGCGATGGCCTCTGGTTCAGCGTCTTGCTGCTGCTGCTTCTCACCCGACATGGAAATACAGTGTTTATGACAGATCTAGTGTCACCTATTCTCGGATGTTGTGACACCAGAAGAGTTTGCGACCCTGATACAAAAGAAATGTATTTAAGCTAGGCCCGCACAAACTGTGGACAGCCCCATTTTGGAGGCCCGGTTCAGGGCCGGCATCGGCACTCGGCCTTAAGACTCAGGTTCAGGGACTTGGTGGAATCGTATCAGATATTTGCAGCACTTGACAAGTGACACATGAATTTAATAGATGCAGTCTGTAGAGCAAGTGTAGAAGACATGTAACCCATCCACAATTCTTCTCTGTAATTGTGTATGTTGTCATTCATGGTGAGTGATGGATGAGGTGGGGAAAGCTCAGTTTGGTGGAAAGCTTGACTGCCTGAGTCAGTCACCGGATAACTCGGCACAAAAATTATCTAAGGTAAGGCACCTAATGTAGTAAGTCATATCTGCTCAGAAGAAACCTAGGTAATTAAGTAGAATCATAGAATATTGCTATTTCCTCTCCCAAACCCCCATCCACTGTCCCCACGCCACAACTCTCCCCTCAATCAAACCTACAATCTCCGCCTTGGTAGCCGCAGCACCCAACTTACTTACAACCAATGGTTCCAACAACCCAATCACCTGGAAGAAGTACCGATGCGGTCCATGGCCCAGCATTCCCCGCGGAGGGATGTAGATCGTTCCCCGACAATTAGCCCCATACTTGAACCCGCCCCTTAGGACATGGCTTCCTGCGGCGGTGGGCTTAAAGTCCTCGTTTGATACACTGCACTTGCTAGCAGGAATACCGTAGTACAGACCATGCGCAACAGGCTCAGCGAGTGGTGCATCCGGATCTTCAACAACAAGAAGCCACTCTTGGATGTTCCCGGCGATTGCCGGCGGTGCGGACCATTTGAGGGCCGGAAAGAGAAAATCTCCAAAGAAGCTGTATTTGACTGGGATCTGCGAGCCGGATGGCCCGATATCTGGACATTCAACAGTGACCGATGGTTCGGGATGCTCCGCAAAAGGAGGGGTATGCTGGATGAGGCCTGCGTCATGGCCCTTGCGGTTGGCGAGCAGCCAGGATAGGGGTCTTTCGATCCACTCCATTGTGTTGCACGAAGCTGATGGATGAATATGAGGTGGTGGTGATGATGGTTGTTGAGGATAGCATTATAAGATGATTGTTGGATGCATGGCGCCTGAACCGGGCCGGAAACGGCTTCGGGATATCCAAGGTGTCGGAGTATGCAGCAATCGGCGATAGTGTCCTAATTCCGTTAACTCAGGAGACAGCTTTTCCACTCCCAGTGGAGTGTGTTATGAGATCAATATATCCTAGGAATTCATATCCTATAACATACACAGGTGAGAGTTCATTGGGCAATGAGTCTCGCCTCCAAGATCTGGACAAGACGGACACCTGCTCTTTTAAGTCTCCCTCATGCACTTTCAACCGGACTTTTTCTTAGTCTGTACTCGAGTATTCAAGTTTCCTCTTCACCTGTCAGTTCATTGCTAGTGATCCAAATGCTGTCATACTCAACGGCATAAAGGAAACAGAGTCCCAGGGAGCAAGTGGCACTGCAGCACCTCACATCAAACCCATCCGCGGCATGAGTTGCTAGGTTTCACAGCAAATATGAGAGCCAGATACCTCAAGATGTAGGCAAGGAATGGCACAAAATGCTAACGCAGACATGTGAATGTGATTGGCCGGAAGGAGAGAAACCTCGGACTCCGCTGGCCTCGGCTGGATTGGACTCTTTGACGATGCGGGGCAATCTCCTCATGCACAGAGATCCATCAATAAAGAAGTCCACTTTTGAACCATAAATCAGTCGCGAGACCTCATTTGAGTTCAATCAAGAAGACTCGATCTCAAAGGCCATAAAGTCAACCACCATGGCTGACGTCTCTCCCAATCCCATCCCTTTCTCCGAGCCCCCGTATCTGCGGGGTCTCCCCTCCCCATACTACACCGCCAGCCATCGCCGATTCCAGAAAGCTTGCCGCGCATTCGCATGGGAGCACCTCCTCAACAATGCGATGGAGTGGGAGAAGGCGGGTACGGTCCCCGAACATGTCTTCAAGGATTTCTGCAAGCATAACATGTTGCTGCCGAATCTGCCCGCCCCATTACCCGTGGACTGGCTGAAGAGACTGGGGATTCATGATATTCTGGGGGTGAAGGTCGAGGAATGGGATTATTTACATACAGGAATCTACTGCGATGAGGTATGATGGACGACAAAACGGCCAACGAAACGGAGGAAAGCTGACTATGGTGATAGCTGTCCCGGTCGGGTCTAGCTGGACCGGGGGCCTCGTTGAGCGCTGGTTTCGCTTTCGGTATTCCCCCGATCATCAAGTACGGTAGCAAGGAGCTGCAGGAACGTTTTCTTCCCGATCTCCTCACGGGAAGGAAACGTGGCTGCATTGCCATCACGGAGCCAGAAGCGGGAAGCGATGTCGCCAATATCACCACCACTGCCACGAAGACTCCAGATGGAAAGTACTACATCATCAATGGGACAAAGAAATGGTATCCCTCAGAGAATATGTCATAAGCGTTGGACATTTCTAATACGCGCTAGGATCACCAACGGAATCTGGTCAGATTATACCACCATGGCCGTCCGCACAGGCGGCCCCGGCGCAGCCGGTCTCTCGGTCATTCTCGTCCCTCTCAAGGGCCACCCCGGCGTCACCATGCGTCGACTCAAGGTCTCCGGCCAGCTCACCGGCGGAACGACATATATCGAGCTCGACGACGTCAAAGTCCCCGTGGGCAACCTGATCGGCCGCGAAGGCGACGGCATGCGCATCATCATGACCAACTTCAACCACGAACGCTTGACCATCGCGGTCGGCGTCACCCGGCAGGCCCGTGTCGCTCTTGCTGCCGCCTTTCAGTACACGATGAAGCGCGAGGCGTTCGGCAAGACACTGATGGATCAACCGGTGGTGAGGCACCGGCTAGCGAAGGCGGGCGCAGAGCTCGAGACGATGTGGGCTTGGTTGGAGCAGATCTTGTACCAGTTGTGTCATCTCAGCAAAGAGCAGGCCGATCAACAGCTGGGGGGTATCACAGCGCTAGCCAAGGCCAAGGCGGCTATGGTGCTGAATGAATGTGCGCAGTGTGCGGTCTTGTTGTTTGGTGGCGCTGGGTATACCGCTAGTGGACAGGGAGAGTTGGTCGAGGGTAGGTTTCTCGCCCCAGGGTTCCTGGCTATAGGCTGACTTGTGATAGCGATTCTGCGAGATGTCCCTGGTGCTCGCATACCAGGTGGATCAGAGGACGTCCTTCTTGACCTGGCCGTGCGACAACTGGTCAAGATCTATCAAGCGGGAGAGAAGAAGCTGGCAAAACAGGCAAAGATGTAATCATGGCTGTTGCGGGCTTTGATGAAATTCATTTATGAAATCCTGCCAGCGAATTGCTAGAAGAAGCTTCGCCTTTGTACGAGATACCAGAAGTATGCATCTATGGTCTCGTTCCACACCTGATATTCAATTCAGTCCTCATGTTATTCACATAAGTTTGGAAGACCAGACAGGTGAAGGCTAGTGGAATGAGATGTACTGATCAGTCCCGAGCATAGGTCCGATTGTTTCACGGGTTTTCTCAATAGTCTATCACCTCTGCTAGAGTAGATGTCATATAGATTCTTCATCCAAAAATGTGTTCTCTAACATAATGAATAGCCTTCACATCATTCGTTGTCTCATTCCCAATTGCCGGCAGTTATCCACGGGTAGTGTTTAAACCGAGGGTCGGGTTGTCGCAGGCGTGCGTGTTGGTATCATATACATATCCCTGTTCTGCCTGGTCAAGTGTCAATGCTAGAGGAAGTAGTTGTGAGGAAATCGAGAGTCATCCGACAGTGTCGTTCATTGCCACTAAGCGATCAACATCCGAACAACCGCGCGACGAGAAAGCAGAACTTGCACCCAGCAGGGAAATAACAGGGAACCAGAAATCATCGCTCAGCATCCACAACACAAGCATTCCACGCATTCGATACAGCATTCGCAGCCCTCTTCGCAAAGGAAGCAGCAGCACATGGCCATCAGACTGCGGTCGATCAGTATGTTTTAGTCACGTCAACAGGCGGAGAGTCAAACCAAGCAGTCAAACATCCACGATCCTTCTTCTGCTCTTGAGGCGGGGCTTGGTATTGCATCTGATGATTCAGTATGGCTTGTTGATGTTAGGGAGTATACGACTCCTACCTGAGGTGGATATGGCTGGGGAGGTGGGTAATGCCCCTGAGGGGGAGGGTAACTGTCAAGTCACTCGTCAGAAGGGACTCAATCGAGAAGATGAGTCGCGGTGGCTGAGTACGTACTATCCTTGTTGTGGTTGCTGCGGATAGGACATCTTGTCTTTCGGATCGAATAAACCGCAATGGGACACTCGTTCAGTCGGATTGCTAGCAGCCAGCGACTTCAGTAGTATATGAATACGTGAAATCCAGCAAAGGATCAGGCAGAAGAAATAAATCTCCAGCGCATCGCCGGGCTGCAGCTGGATGGGGACGCACCCTCGCGCCTGGCCTGTCTTGGCCCTGTAGTACAATCCTGGGGTCCACACTAACAATCAATCTGGAGAGGCCGAGAGATTGTCAGGTCCTGAGAAGGCGTGGAACAAACAGCCGAGATAAAAGCTCTTCGTTGGCCTCTCGCAGATGCCAGCATGCTATTTTCTATCCATCTCTTGCTCACAGCAACAACAACCCATGATTTTGATGTCTCCATGCCTCCGTTTGGCTGCAGTCTGCCAAGAGAAACATTCACTAGAGGGAAAGGGGATGACTGCCAAGAACCCCAAGAGGAAATGAAGGGGAATGTCTCGCCCTTTAGGGCTGACACTAGCCACACTGCTCCATTTGGCCGGATCGACAATCCAATAGTCAAGGAAAGTCAATACTCCACTGCGGTTCTCCTGTCAAAGGAATTGTGTTGCCTGGTTTACATTCCTCTGCTGTTACCCCTAGCACAAGTTGATTGGACGGTAGACTCCCAGAAAGGGGTGACATTATTATGAAAGCCTGTGATGAGGGTTGCATTAGCCACATATATACCTCAGGGGTAGTAATTCAAGATTATGTATATCAAGAATGGAAAAAATGGCCTGTAGATAGTGCCTTATAATAGATAACTTTATAGTCAGAATGAAGCACATGTCATATTATGGCGCTGGCTATAATAGATCTTCCCTTAAATTACTGAAGTAGCTGCTAATTGACTGGTCTAGATATTCCCTCACATTAGCACTAAGGGATTTACTAGTTTGAGATGCTGCAAATGCCTACCCTTTTTAGGGCTTCAGTATCTTAACATACTCTGCACCTGCTATGCAAAACCTTGTAACTAAAATTTAGATGTTGGAATCACTCATGCTAAGCATTCTTTGGTACTGCCTACTACCAATGTGAAGAACAAGATTGATATACACATTTGCACACTCCCTTTCCAACAAGCCCTAAACTGCATCAGTAACACTCACCTTCAAGGATTGGAACTAGACCCTAAAGCTGCCCTGTGGGCGGATGATAAAACCCATACACTCTGCTGGCGGATAATCCCTAGGCATGAGTGCCTTTTGGTGATCATCTCCGCAATCTCAATGTTTAAGAAATGACCCGACGCCATCCGAGCACACAACACAGATCTGGGGCCAGATAGCATTATTTGCCATGTCCAACAGTGCGTAATAACAGTAAAGCATTTTGATATAAGTGTGGTGTGCATCTCACCTTGCCAGATAACCAGTTCACAATGCATTGTGGACACTCTGCGCTACATGCGATTCTACTGTATTGTGGATATGGAAAGACGCTGACTAGTCTGTGTAAGGGACAGATTACCATTGGAAATATTAAAAGCAACAGATATACATAGAGCACGAGGGAATGTAATCATTTTGCTAATTCAGCCATGTAGCGCAGAGGAATAGCCTAAAGTCATGCACTCAAACAGGCAGTAATTCTACCTCCCCCACCACATTAAAAAGACGGGTTCGCGTTGGTCAAAAGCTGCTCAAAGTAGGCCTGAATATGTCAGTCACTTAGCCCTTAATTGATAAATTGGATAACGTACCTGGAACCAAGTACCAGCCTCAGGAGCAGGCTGCAGAGCATCGCTGTATCCGCAGTGCGCATCGTACCGGGTCGACGAGGAGTTGGACGTGCCATCACTCTCTCCACCGGGCTTGACCCACACAAAGGCATCCTCGAGCGGATCGCCAGTGTTGGTCGAGGGGCGAACACCAAAGCCGGTGCCGATGACGTTGCACCAGTCACCCCAGGCGTTTTGCTTGGTGGGCTGGACGCCATTGCGGGCTGAAGCAGCTATTAGCTGATACGTTTCTGACATTTGATAAGCCACTTACAGGTATCCATGATGAAATGGGCATTGAAGCCGGCACTCTGGAGGAGAGGCGCCAGGGCGTTGATGTACTTCTTCTCGTCGCAGTTGGAGTCTCCCGAGGTGTACGAGGGGCAGGTACTGAGAGACCAGGCGTTGTAGTTTGCTACGTTGGTTGCCAGACCACGAACAGCCGCAGGGGAGCCGGCGTCAGTGTAGACCTTGGCGAAGAGGGTTGCGGCGGGGCCCAAGTTGGCGGGCCATCCGAGCCAGCCAGCGTGGCCTGATGAGTTAGTTTCTGAGATGGATGCGTGGGACTGAGAGAGGCATACCTGCGTCGATGTACATGGCGACGTTGGGCAGGTTGAGCTGCGTCAGAGCGTAGTTGACACACTCAAGGTAGGCGCTCTGGGCATTGGCGCATTTGGCGACGTTGAGGTTGGTCACCAGGTTGGCCAAGCTGTCGGGTTCTGCAACTTGTCAGAGAAGAGCCGAGCGCAACGAAAGTATATGACCTACCAATGACGAGGATGGTGTGAACGTCAGAGTACTTCACCAGCTGAGCACGGATGGCGTCAATGTACGCCTTGTAATTGGCCACACCGTTGTTGGCAATCGAGTACTCGCCATTACTGGCCAAGGCAGCGCAGTCACGGTCCGGCAGGTCGTAGACCACGAAAATACCGGCGATAGGAGGGTTGGCGCCAGCCTTGTTCTTGGCCTGAATGTCGGCCAGGTAGGTGCCCATCGTGGGCACCTTGGCGGCAACGTCGCTACAACTGTCAGGGATTGCTCCGAGTATTGGGATAAGAAGACGACTTACAGCCAGACAAACGAGGGCACCTGGGCGACGGCACTAGCCTTGGGCTGGAGCGAGCTGGCCAGAGAAGGCATGGCCAGAGTATTGACCTCGGAGGAGTAGTAGGGGTTGGCATATAGCTGGTAGCCGCTGAAGGGGTTACCGGATGCGGTCACGGTGGGTGCGGATGTAGTAGGACCAGTCGTCGTAGGTGCGGTGGTGGTGGCCTTGGTCGTCGTCGAGAGCGTGGAGGTGGTCGCGGTGGCCCCAGGGATACACTGGGCGTAGTCTGGGGAAGTCAGTATAATCTCTACTGAGGACGACATCGGACATACAGGGATTCAGGGTGCTACAGGCCGCACCAGCAACACAGCTTGTCGCGCCAGACCAGCCTTGACCGCCACCTAGAACATATTAGCATTTGATCGGGTCTTATTCCAGTGATAGTCAAGGCATACATTGCCCCCATACAGTCTGCTGGGCCTGCACCGCAGCCAACAGTAGAGCTAATGCGATGGAAGATGCAAGGTGCTTCATCTTGACGGCGTATATGGTGAAATCCTCGAGACTGATTGAAGACTATCAGAAAGGACTCGACATCAATGGAGATCCGGAGGCTAATTTATATCCCTCTGTCACTTATCTTAGTCGGAGCCATGCCGGCTTTCCGAAGAGTACCAGGTACACACAGTCCGGTTCAACCGCATATCATCCGTTCAAGAAAGCAATTTAGCCTCAAGAATGCTGTACGGGTACAAATCAAACTGAAGCGAAAGCCTAGTGCCCGTGATGAAAGGGTAGTAGCCGCAAAGTCAGTAGGAGCTCATATACAACCGAAAAGGGAAAGCGAAAATTTGATGGCAGCATTCACGGAAAGCCCCGCAGAATCGCATTTCTTCAGTCAACTCCCTAAGATCCTGATCCATTCATTTCCTGCAGTGAAACAATCCTGTTCCTGCTTTTTTCCGGCAGTCGATGACCCTGTAGAAGCGCCAATTACAACTCCCGACAGCAGCCACATGAGCCCTCGCAGGTTGCAATTTGCGGGGGACATACTACATCAACGATATTAACCTCACGTCCAAACCGGACGCGGGGGTTTCAGATTCGACCTGTAAAATGCTTAGCGTCATTTTCCCCGCGTCTGCAACATTTCGCTGCATGCCGACTTTAGGCATGGTTATTACACTCCTTGGACTTCAATTGCCGATTTAGGGGTATGATTCTGCAGATGCCGGTTCTGCGGCCCGGTATGCCAGGCTAGACAGATCCTGCAACTTCCTACTTGTAGGGATCCTGGTTGGCTAGATGCTGTAATGCGATGCAACCGTCCAGGGCACGGAGTCTGTGGAAGTTTTAGGCCAGTTTAGGCAAAAGAAGGGCTGGCGCGAAGCACCAGGACGGCGATCCCACATATGCTTGTTGACCTTGCCTATTTGAAAGGACAGATAATAATTCTCATCAACAAACATGGAGCATCAGTGGAAAAGAAATTTATTGTCTGCACCACCTAGCAGGTTGCTGTTCACAAGATATTACAGTGAATGTCGGCTGCAGAACTCCGTGTTGGAAGAACGCTAGCGCAGGGAATATCAGGCGATGCTAATCCCCTCTTAATTTAGACTAATGTGGCTACGGTGTCTTTTCTGGCAAGACTACTTCCCATGATTAATCAAGGAGAGGATAGGCAGCCGATCACTTCCATCAGACAATGAGCCTTGGGCCCTTTATGCAGAGAGAAGGCTTGCTAAAGTCAGACACATCTAGTTCAGTAGAGAAGTGTTGGTTCTCTCCTGTCAGGTGTCACCTACTATGTTATACAACAATGACATCCAGCTAAATTTCATGGACAGAGTCATACATGTTCTAGACTGTACTGCAAGGGAAATGCTACTGCCTGGATTCCCAGATCAATTAACATTGGGAGTGAACAATGCTTAGCAGTTTAGATTAACAGTATGAAGCTTGACAAGGTCAGCAACATTTGTCGCCAATGAACATCATTGCATGTATGTTAGGTTTCAAACTTACAAGCACCTACATTCACTGCACCGAGATAGCTATCGAATAAGAATATTGCTTTATCATTTATGGTCACATACACTGATCACTCAATCACTTCAGAGGCGACTCCGAAAGTGCAGATATACAACTGGAGGAGATCACTGTATGCATGTTTCAACAGTTCAACGTGCTTCCTTTTCTAACCGGTCATTTAGATCTTCCTTTGAATCGAATTGGGTTTAAGCTAAGTAGTGCCTGAATCAGTCAAAGTCCCCAAAACCTAAGATGCTCAATGGGAGATACGAGTTTAATCAGGGCCATGACTGTTCTCATGCCGGGGCATTTGTACATATCTGACTCCATCAAGATGGGCAGGAAAAAGCTCTACTAGTTGCAACAATCGGGTTCAGCTTTCCTTTGAGCTTGAACAGGCCCTTTGTCCCCCAGTGGCATTGGCAGCAAATGCCCATCCCCTTCAGTGGCTGGAAGAGGAAGTGTGCTCGAACCACCAAGACACCCCTGGAACCACCGACTTAATGATCCATGCCGTGAGGATTACGAATTGATTTATGGCGTTTGCGAAGGTTCTGTCATCTCAAAGGAGCCGATGCCATAGAGGTCGGTGAGAAGGAAATCATCCATCACAGACAGACGCCACGCTCTCTTGCCAACACGAGGCCGGATTCCCTGACACTGTTTAACAACTGTGGCGTATATACCCAGACAATCCTGGCCATAATCAGTATGCTGATGAGTGAATGAACTGCGCAGGGTCATTTGGTGCTTGATACTCCTACATTCTCGACCAGATATTGTAGTGTCTGACTCTTTGAGTGCAATGTTCGAGGATTCAGGAACAAAATCAAGTCCTTTCATGGTCGTCTGACAGATGCTATATATCGATTCTCTTCATCTAAGTGCAAAAGAAGTCAGATTAAGATAGTTGAAACTACATATCCTATCGATTGACCACGCTGCAACTCGTGCAATATACCCAATCCGCAAATCAAGATCCAACCCATCCAATCCGCAAAATATGTGGATTTGGGTTGGCCCTGATTCAACCCGCAGCCAGATCGGTGAACCATACTTAACCTGCATAGATACCCTAGGGGTTGAGGTATAATACTGGAAAAAAGGTGGTAAATGGAATACTATGTTGGTATTATAGTAGATATCCATTATTATCCGCAGTCCAACCCGCATGGATATGAGGGGGTTAAACCCATACCCAGTCCACAACTAGTCTATCGAGAAAAACAGTCAGCCATCAAAAAATGCTCAACAGGCGAAATTCCCCTGAATGTCCAGTTGGATCTTTTCGTGTTTTGCCAGGTTGAGCCAAGTGGATGACCTAATCTCGATCGCTCATAGTACCTAGAGTCCCACTCATTCATAAGGACAGCCTGTGATTGGCCAACCATCAGAAGACATGGAGGACTAAAAGGTGTCTTTTAATCCTTTTTAATCCTTTCAAATGTTTTTCAATAATCTCCTTGGTCAGTAGAAACAGGGCTCAGTCACCAGTTGCGCAGAACTCGAAGATCGCCAGTTGACCAGTCCATCACGTGATGCCATTGCCAGGGGACGTGTAAAAGCGGTGAAGCCTCAGCATAACAATACCCTTCCTGTCCTAACCAACTTCCCTCTTAATCTCCTTCAATTCTTCCTCTCTTCTGCTTTTGTCAAATCTTCTAGCCTTTGTGGCAATGGCTGAACAATCAGATACTGACGATGGTTGTATCGCATGTGGCTGGACAACTTTCAAGCAAAATCGGTGCCACTATTCGAGCCATGTGAAACTCTTCTACGGTGCATCACAGCGCGGTGTCTGGTCAATCGGTTCTGATGTGATCCTCAAAGATCGCCCGGATGAAGGTGCAAAAGCAAGAATCGAAGCAAAGACACTAGAATTTCTTGCAGAAGCTACTGCTACTGATACCAACATTAATATCCCCACTCCAAAACTGATACGTGACTGGGTGGATCGCGATGGGCGATACTTTACTCTGACCGAACGTATACCCGGCCAAACACTCGAGCAAGCGTGGCCATCATTATCAGAATCCCAAAAGATTTCTATTGCGGATCAGGTCGTCCAAGTTCGCAAACAGCTTCGATCCAATTTCATCTCAACTACTATACAAAGCGTCGACCAAGGCCCTTGTTATCCAGGCTTGCTGTTTCTGGATATGCAACCATACGGACCATTTCACTCCGACCAGGAGCTTTGGGATGCCCTTGCCATAGCTTATGACAATCTCCCTCCACATGTCTTCACGAACTTGAAAAAGCGCTTTCCGAAAAGTGAGCCTTTTGTGCTCTCTCATTGTGACCTTAACTTAGGCAATATCATGATTCGGGATGGACAAGTTGTGGGTATACTTGATTGGGAGTATGCTGCTTATCTCCCTGTCTGGTATGAGTATATCTCGGCGTCTTTCGCATTCACAGAAATGGATGTGGAATGGAAGAAGGTCCTTCGAGAGCGTCTAGGTGTACATGGTGATGCATATGACGATGCAAGGGCTCTTTGGAAGGACCTAATCAGTCTGAAACAATATCCTAATCTAGATGAGAAGGGTAAAGAAGCTCTTGAGAGGCTAACTTCAGCTTAGGCTTTCTTGGGTGCTTAATACATAACATTTTATTCTTTTACCTAAATATCTTCTCAAACTGAGGGGCACGGGTTTGATTGTACGTACCTAATCATTCATGAAATCGAACGCATAGTTACTTGTTCGAGTTATTTGATCTGGAGGGAACCCTCCAAACGACCAGGAAAGAATGTAGCGATCGTCTTCCACGGCATATGGTTACCTTTTAACCGGGCCAGGAGCGCATCATCTTCTGATTGCACAGGTATATTGAGTTTGCATGGATTAAAAATAGATAAGAAAGCCAAAAATTATTTGCGGCGCAGTTATTTCAAAAGTTGAGAGGTCAGTATGTACGCATCACGGAGTTTCATGCGCGCAACGACGCAGAAGGTCTCGACATGTCAAATAATAGCCTATCAATTTCCACTTAACCCACAGGCGTGCCATCCGCCAAGCATACCTTGCGAAAATCCGCCGACCTTGTCTGAAAGAGTTTCTCGTAAGCCTTTAATATACCACTGTATTTCTTCCTGCTCTGTTTCTGGGGTTGAGGATGGAAACATTATGAGATGCAGAGGGTTTTGTCGCATTGCTGGGAAGTCTCATTCTCGTGCCAAGCACTCCGCATCATCAGGACCAACGGAAACGAGTGCCAGCTGCATGTTTAGGAGTTCTTGGGCCTTCAAACCAGGACAACGTGTTAGTGACTAGAGCTATCGTGTGGAGGTGCCTCTCAAATGGCCTTATTCGAAAGGAAGGAGACGGTCGGAATTAAATTGTCACAGCGATATAAGTATACTGTATACAAGAGGTGTATGGCAAGGAAGATCTATTCTCCGAAATAACGGCGCTTACATAATAATGCTTACCAATACTGTTACAATTTAATATTAATAAGTTACATAGGCATGATGAAATTACTACCAAATTTGTCTCCTCTTCCGCTAACTCGAATTTCTGGACACCATGAAGCAGAATGCCCGTTTCACGACTGGAAATACTTCATTTAATCAATTATGTCCTAGATAGAGTCCGGGTGTCCATCTTGCACAATGGGGATAGACTTGGAGACCAGAGAAACTCGCTCTGGCGGAGAATAAGTGGCACCTGCTAGTCCACGCTGGCGCGGGGGTGCATCTTTGAGAATGTCTGGGATTCTGATCTTCTCTCCAGGCGCAGCCGCCCTGTTCACTAGTCAATAAACTATGAAAGAAATATGTGAGATCCTTAAACCGTAAGGTAGTAGACTTACCCATTATAGGCAAGGTTGGTTACAAGGGCTCCTGGCTTGGTGAACATCACATTGCTGCAAAGATAGTCTCCTGCTCCAGGAAGGATGAGCTTATTCACACCAGCTAGATCATTCAGAAGGTTATCTCGGTAAACTTCAAGGCTCCTTTCAAAAGAACCACCAGCTGAGTCCTGGCACATGTGGCCAATCACGTCCCATGCTGGAGTCCAATTAATATTCTCAGTGTGATAAGATACAGGGCCCTTGCTGACCCGAGAAGAGGTGCACAGGATTTGAAGGCCACCATCGTCAACTCGAGTCACTGCAAAGTTCAATTTATATTGCATTGTGAAACTCATGCTGCCAACACAGTCAGATAACTTTATTGGTCACGGGAGTCATACTAGGTACTCACTCTGACTTTGAATACCACTGGCCAAATGAAGTGCAGTTTATTGAAACTGCGTTCTTGCCAGTAATTGAGAAAGCCTGCCCGCCGCTAGTGAAGGTAACAGAAGTACTGGCACTTGCTATATATCCTTAGTATTTCATCCTCCGGGAGATGTTATCTCTACTAACCACTCTGTGTCACTGTCCAATTATTATTATCAGACTTCATTGAATCTTTCGTAGATAGAAGTGAGTCTTGCGCTGCCCATGTCCAGCCATTGCCATCTTTCGACTTTGTAAATTGATAATACTTATCCTTGTAATCAGGGTGTGCCACACATGTACCAGGTCCAAAAAAAAACCATACATAAATACCGCCAGGATGACCCTCCCAAGGAATCAGGTGAGGATTATACGGTTGGATCTGAGTTGCACGGTTGATAACCTGAAGTAGAGGGAGGAGCCATGACTCCCAAAACAGAGCATCGCTCATGCACAAGATAGCTCCCCTACCAGGTTCGGAAGGATCTGTATTGACCCAGGTTCCGGTATAGGCGATTTGGGGAGGGACAGGTGGGGTCTCCTTGCTAGTCATTATCAAATAGCACAGAGCATTAGAATTAGAATTGTTGGAGGGTGGCAGAGGATAGACGGGATCTTTCCATGGATAGACAGAATAGTCAATGGAAGTGGGCGGGAAGGTCGGAGCAAGTGGGTTCACTTTCCATAGTAATATTAGTGAACAAAGCCTTCCCGTTGCAGAGAGTAAGCATACCTGTTTGAGGCTTTTCGGTTTGCAGCATGACTGCAATATTTGTAAGCCCCCCACGGCTCATTGCGTCCATCCATACGACCCGTAGCTGCTGAAAGTGATTCTGGGTTGCATCACTCTCTTTTGACCAGTCAATCCCTTGGAAGTTTGAGCCCTCGGGATAATACCCAGGTGATTCTAAGCGCAAAGTTAGAATAAATAGGCCAGGAAGATACAGAGACACTAACCTTGAGATTTAATATAAAGCTTAGCAATGGAGAAAATGCTGCTTGAAGGAAGATCCATCTTCGCAACATAGCCAGGGTATGACGGATCGGACGGTGGAATAGCTTCACGAGCTAGATTCGCTGGTTTAGAAAGGATACTTCCAAGTCTGGTAACAGGCAGTACATACACAATGAAGTGCGAAATGCCACAGTCCAGCCTGAAAGATCAAACGTCTTCATATCAGGGTTGTTAGGATCTTCTGTGGTGTAGAGGTTCATTGTTCCAGAACTGAAGTTCCATTGGAAATAGAGCATAGAGTTGAAGTCAGTGACATTGACTATGACAGTCGGGGCCTTTAGTTGTCCTAAAATAGCTTCACCACTCCTTGTTTTAATCTGAATGCGACGTATTGATGAGGATGGGTCGGCAATGGCCCACATGTTTGAAAAGGTCTCATTGATTGTTTCTTGGCTGATGAAGACGGCTTGGTTATAAGGCGCAATGGACGTCTTATTTATCAAGCTATCAATAAAAGGATTGGGGTTCATTTTAAAGGCGTTTCCCTTTTTGGCACAAGCTTTGCAGACTAAAATTTAATGTGTGATCCTCCTGCAAGCACCCAAGGACTTGTGTATATATATTCTTTATGTATGTTATATCAAAAGATGAGAATAAGAATCTGGGTGTTTTGCTTTAATGTTTATACTGTGGGACTGAAATCCTTAAGAAGAGATGATGAGCTTGGCTTAGCTAAAAAGTATACAGTAGTAATTTTATTAAGTATACTATACCATTGATTAGGGGTGCATTAGCCTTCTTATCTACTGCAATAATTAGAGCTATACATCTTATATAATCTGCTGTACTGTGTTCTTCAGAATGAAATAAGCAGTGGACTGTCAGTGTATCAGCTTCAGGATAACACGTCATAGATTCATAATCTGGAGCTGGCAAGATCACACCACTAACTCATTCGACCAAGTCTAGCCCTTATTGTAGCCTTGAGTTATTAACTTACTGGGAGGCAATAGGGAACTACGTATAATGAGTTCAAAGGTATTCTAGCCCTCTTATTAGGCTATACCTCCACCAGCTTCAATTTGCAGAAAGCGCCGTTATTATCACAAAACCTAATATGAAAACAGCTAGTGGCCAGAGATCTAGACAAGAAAGTCTCGAGCTAAGTACGGCCCAGGTCTCTTGAATATAATTACCCGCTTAACGCAAAGATGCCAAAGAATCCCACTAAAATGGGTTCAAGAAAGGTTCAAGAAATACAAAATGCTATCTGTAGAGATTTTTAGATCTAATTTGAAAACCTAATCTGCAAACAGCCAGTGGCCAAAGTTCTAGACCCTAAAGTCTATTAGACTTAAGGCCTTAAGAATGAACCAAAGTTTAAGGTCAGCCTTAAATAGAGAAAAGACAACAAGTATACTTCATAATCTGATGATGTGTTGTCTGAGTGCATGTTTTAGAGGCCATGTGATTCATAAGTGGCCTTATCACCCCTACAGCCCTAATATGGTATTGTTATACAGGTTTTTAGATATAGACTATAGTCTTTTATACATGAGAATATACAACTCCTAACTGCCCTAGCATTCAACTATTCATAAATACATACTGATTTACTGATTAAGCACCTGTCACTATTAAAAAGTAGGAGATCACACAACTATACCTGTCTGCAAATTCAAGAATTAATATATATAAGTTTCTAAACCCAAAGGCACCACTAGTATTTGGATCCTAACCTCTAATAAAGGTGATGCCTAACACACCATAAGATAAGTGTACTATGTAAGTGAGCTTACTCTATCTTATGCTTGTATCCCTTCTTTACATGCTTTCTTATGAGTATATGATGCATTATGGTCAGGAGACTACTAACTATTTAAAGCATGATAAATAGTGATGAAAATGGACAGCTCTAGACTGGAGTATGGACAAAGGTTCTGGGACTTAGGTCCTTCTACTTCCAGCTGGATTCGCCTTCAGTCTCACAAAGCTGATTGCTAACAAATTTAGACTCTCACATCATAACCCTAGCTAGAATAATAGTGAAGTCAGAGTTACGCAATTACTTACAAGCATGTTGGAAGTAGGTGGTAAGTTAAGCACATGAATCCATCAATTCCAACCCTTTGTATGATCCCCAAAAAATAGCTGCTTGTATAAATTTCTCAAGGAGACACCTCTAGCAACCAATGCAAGCACACACCAAGATTTACTCAAAACTTCATATGTAACCAACTGTTGTGAATATTGATTCTGATTTCTAATTATATGCAAGGCGACATGATCTCAGTTGTGCAAGACTCTGAGTTCATGACAAATTTGCTGCCGGCAAATCCTGTTCCAGCTGGCAAAAGATTCATTGGGTTCCAAGATCAGGACAGCAACCCAGCTGTCTTCTCCCTCGGAGAGGACGCAGTCTTGAATCTTATCATCGCGCAAGATGGCACCCCTTCCCTTGTGAACTTTGGTAGCCTCTGTAATTTCTCTGGCAAGGTCTTAGCGTTTGATGTCCAGCAACACAAAGATTCCAGCCTCTCCATAGTAGTTGCAACAGACGCGGGAAAAGATCTCAGCAATGTCTACATTCTAATCAATATGATGCCAGCAGAACTGCTTAAACCTCAACCTGAAACTATACTTTTCGCTGGGAATTTATTTCCAGTTATCTATGAAATTTTCCTGGTGAGCGGCCTCAGTGTTTTACAAGCGGCTTTCAATACTGACTGGCCTGGAGAGTAACTTTACTCGACGTGTTGGAAGCACAGACTTTCCAATGATATTTCTCACTTTGGCACCTCCCGGAGCAATAACCAAATCGAGCCAGCTGGGATATCTTAATGTTGCTACTAGAGACAGTGGAGGATTTGCCTTCTCTCTCAATACCTCATGGAGGCTTGCAACAGACCCTATTGATATCCTTGCCGTCGCATTTGGTACCTGCCCCGTTGGACAAGGCGCATTTGTTCTGTACACTGCCAGTGATGGAAACCATCTCCAGTTTCGCACATTTGCTGGAGGTAATTTTGCATCTGAGATGAACTGTCCCTCTGGTAAGGCGCAACCCGTATTTCCACTGCATCAATTTCTAACAGACACATAGGAGCACTTTGTATAGACTCATATGTCAATCCCACCACGACCTACACGGAGTTACTTGTGGGAGGGGATAGCATTACTCGGTTCAACTATAGCCAGTATTGCACTGGACACGGCGAGGGAACGCCAATCGTAACTGGAGACACCGCACTGGGGCTTAAGAACATGCATGTGGCTCAAGAAGATGAGGACATCACAATCTGGTTTACCACTGTAAAGAATGGCGTCCACTACTACTCAGCACCTCTTCCTTCACTTACCGGCGGACAACTCATACAACTGCTGGACGACGGAAGTGGAGGCCAGATATCAACCATGCTAATCGCGAAAGAGACAACAAGCGATTTGTTAGTTGACACTGTTATTTCTGTTGACTCATCCGGCTCTCTCACCCTGCTCCAGTGCGGGTCTGACACTGGTATCTGGCAGGCCGTGCCGTTCTATCTTCCCTCTGATTCAAACACTATGGAGGTCCCGAGCTTCACCCTAAGATTCAAGGCCAGCTCGGACGACTCAAACCAGCCGGTGCAATACTGCCAACTCCACATCAAGTGTTCAGGTTCTGTAATAGCCTTCTGTAATGGAGTCAGCCAGATAATCGACCAGCAAGGCAGATGGTACCAAGCTGACAGCTTTGGGGCCGTCAGTGTCATTATTTCCACTTCTGACATGGCATCATTCACCTTCCAAGTGAACCAGTTCAAGAGCAGCGGTCATTCGGCAGTGCCTGTCCAGGCCGCCGTCCTCAACCCAAACATGAAACTCAACGCGAAGCTAACGGCGATCAACTCTGGCAATGACCTACTCAACGCCAAAACACAGACCGGCGACCCCCTTATAGTCCCGAGGACTGTCAGTCAGGCTGATGCTGACCAGGCGGCCAATATAGTCAGCCAACTCAACAAGTCCCAGATATTTCTGGGAGACCCGAACCTGCCCCTCAGGAAGTTCAGCAATAAGCGGAAGGTATATAACCCTAATAACGAGACTCCACAATTCCTTGCCGGTCGCATTTTAGGAGATAAGGACGAAGTGACGGATTTTATTAAACACGTGAGCTTCAGCTCTTGGTATGACCCCTGGGGTGCGTTTTCGTGGGTCTACCGCAAGGCGCAGGAGGCTACGAAATGGGTGCTTAATAAAGTCGGTATGAATTGCTTCTAATCTGCTACTGTTGTCGTAAAATGTTGCAAGATCTACTGACACTGTACCACCAGGTGACGCTGTCAGTCTAATAATAGAGCTCGGCGGTAAAGTATTCAACTTCCTTCTTGACTCGCCCGAAGCCATTGGCAAGGCGATAAGTTGGGTGTTTCAGAAGATTACTGTGGGACTGCAGAAGCTCATCGACTTTCTCGGTTTCCTCTTCAACTGGAGGGACATTCTGAATACGGCCGATAGCATCGTATCCGTGATGGATTCTGCGCTGGACTATAGCCAAGGGCAGGTCGACGGGTTGAAGGCTCAGGAGCAGCAGATAATAGAAAACCTTGGGGACGCCGTGAAGAAAAGGATTAGCCCTGTTGAGACACCTACGGGCACGGAGCTCAAAGACTCCAAGGAGACGCTACCCATGGCCGCCATCAAGGAGAGTGTCGGATACAACTGGACCTCGTACCAGGTGGCATACGCCGGCGTCGGCACAAGTGGGAGCATCAAAGACGCCCCCGAAGCGGTATCGGGGGCCACCTCCAAAGCGGGAGACAAGCTTGGTCCCTCTTTACCTGACCTTTGGTCCAAGCTGACAGACATCTTCGCCGATGTGGAGCACTTTGTCAGCGACATGGGACATGACGTCTCGGATTTGTTTAAACCCGGCACAACCTCGACCAACATTTTCGAACGGTTAACACTTAAGCTGATGAATGCGGCGCTACGCACGACGCAGGAAGCGGTGGACACCCTGCTGGATGCCCTCAGCGCCGTACTATCGTGCCTCCGCAGGCTGGGCAACAAGTCCATCCAGCTACCGATCTTTACGTCGCTGTGGAGGACGATCTCGGGCGGGCGCGACTTTACTGCGCTCAACGCCATCGCGTTGCTGATTGCCATACCCGCCACACTCTTGTACAAATTTGTCAAGGGCGTTGCACCACCGTCGCTCGCAGGCATGGACAAGAACACGTTTGCCGCGTATGTGAACGGGGAGCTGGGGGAAGAGAAGGAACTTGGTATCAAGCGCTCCGATATCCTGCGCGTACTTTCGGTCATGCTCATTGTCATGGAGGAACTCGAGTGGAACTTTAAGGTCATTAGCAGGTTTACAAAAAGGTTGCGTAGCACGACAGCAGATACCATAGACACGGCTATGATTTTCTTGGGCACAGGGCAGCTCATCGCCTTGTGGCCCATCAAGGGGTCGCAGAACACGACACTTAGATATACTGTAAGCTCCCGTCGGTATCACTAGCACAACTCTCTTTCTCCAGTCATTGGCCTTGCTAACCTTAGCCGTGAGCCACAGTCATGGGGTCTGGATTGTGCGAATGTGGTCACACTAGCAACAGGTCGCTTTGTGGGCTGGCAGACGGGGACGCCGCGCGAGGAGACAGCACCTATGGTCGCGACGGTGGGAGTGATGACGTCCATTCCCACCTACCTTCTTGGTATCCTGATCCACACGGACGCCGACTCTGGAGACCCGGCCCTGCTTGCCCGGCACATTACTGAGGATACATTTGCGATGCTCAAGGCATGGCTGTCTGGGATCCAGGCTGTAGCATCCGACCCTGAAACTATCGCGACTGCCACAACGCTAGGATATATTTGTGTTGGGTTGAAATTGCTGCTCAAGTTCGTGGATTTCTATCTCGAGGCTGAGGATGAGCTGAATGTGAATGACGCCGAGCCACCACACCAATGTATAGACCGCGGAAATCTCATGGCAAACATGAATTTCAGCATGCTGTGATGCTGGGACAGAAAAATACAGTGAGGTAGGAGGGTATTGTTTAATGGCTCAGGACGTTTGTCCCTAGTGGCCAATTTATAATTATAGCATGTATCCTGCAGAGGTTGGTCAACTGTATATGATTTGAAGTTAAGGTTATCCTGAGGATGACAGAGCAATTAAACTTGAATACAGTCTCTTAGGTTTTTGTAGACTGGTTACGTGCGAGGGACCGCCATCCTCCCACGGGCGCCCGCGACGGGTCCGGGACCCCCCCCAGTCCGGCGACGGCATCGGGGCCTGGCGCCCCGCCCCCAGGGCCGGCGTGGGACAATCTGGGTATTATTCCATTCGTCCCGTTGCAGTGCATCTAACCATGCTGGTTATAGATTCTAGTGCCCCTAGGGGGATAGCGCAACCAGCATACACCTATTAGGATCTGCTCCACTAACCAGTTTAGCCAGGGGCACTACTCCCCACCCAGGCTATATTACTTCGCCAGCCACAGCATCTAGGCTATCTAGATTACCTAATTAACCCCTCCTAGGTCCTGTTCCTGCTTAATTATCTGCTCTAAACTTAGTACCTGCTAGAGTATAGGATCCTACCCCTGTAGATACACTGCTGCTGCAGAGATATATATCTCTATATCCCTATCTTATTAGGGCCTGCGTGCTAGCGGTCCCCTTACCCCAGTAGCTAAAAAGGATGATATTGCCTAGTAATCTAGTAACCTCTATCATCCCTAGCCACCCTTTATCTACTAGAATCCCTCTCCTAGCCCATACATAGCCAGCCACACTGCCAGGGTCGGAGGGTCCCCATCAGATGGTTCTTACAGGGATCCCACCCCCTAGGGCCCAACGCGGTAAGTGCAGGATCTGCTAGACCTACAGTGGCCACTGGTGGGAACCTAGACTAGTTATATTATATCAGATCTTTATAATAGTAGTGGCTGGTAATGGCACAAGCTAATCTATATATAGCACCGCAGGCGCCTGTTACAGCACCAACACAGCCGCGTTAGCGCAAGGAGGAAGGCGGAATTGATAGGCAGAATTGAGAAGTAATGATGACCAACCATTCCCCTGTTACCAAAATGTGAAAAGACCATAGTTTCTAATAAAGAGACTATACACAAACTATGACCTTTCTATTATCACTAAGGATTACTCTATAGTACCCTGGGCTTGGACTGGACCTGCTATAAGGGAAGGGGGAATAAGTGATAAACTATAAACTAATATAAATGTGCCTATCATGTGGCAGCTACCCTGGGAAAGGAACCATTACTAAGATAAGGAGTAATAAAGCTACTCTATAATCTACTATAACGCTACCCCAGGAGTAGTAATAGGAGTTATAAATGGGTCATAACTAAGGAGCTATATAAGGATACTTACTACTATTTATACTAGAGTTGTAGCAGGCAGGGCCCGCTGAATGCTCGAGCTTACCAAGCACTCGCGGTCTGCCTTAGGCACCAACGAAGTCCCGTCCAAAGCGGACACCAGCTTGATCACGTGACCCCGTACTAATCAATGTACTAACACACTCTGTCACGTGACCTCGTCTCCTATTCGCACCTATCTTTTGTGTTCGGCCGCCGTGGCCCTAGATAGAACCTCTTAGCGATTTCTTACCATTCAAATCTAGGTTATAGATTCCAGGCTTCTAGCCCGTGACAAACTGCAGACTATTAACTAGCTATTATACTAGCTTAATCTTAAGACTTAACCTAAGTAAATATAATAGGGCAGAGCTTAAGGAGATACTTTATTAGCTAGACCTAGATATATAGAAATATTAGACTAAATAAACTAGATAAAGTGGATAACTAAATAAAGTAGATAAAGTAGACTAACTTAACTAACTTTACTAACTTTACTAACTGGATGAAGTAATTAACTGGATGAAGTGATTAAATAGGTAAATTATATAAACTAGACTAAACCAACCAACCCCTAGTAGCATATATTAATAGATAATTTTTATATTATTAGTAGTATAGAACTCTACTAATACTATAATTTACTTAATAAATAAAGATTTAAAAATATATTAATAATATACTAATAGGGACTAACTAATCTATATACTATTAAAAAAAATTAATTTTAGAAAGTAACTAGAGTAAAATTAACTTAATATCTTTAGATAATAAATTAAATAAGGGAATACTATATAATTTATTAAAGAGTAATTAAATTTAATAAGATATTAATAAAAGAGATATAAATTTTAATAAACTATTTATAGTAGTAGTTTTAACTTATTAGAAGTAATTAGGAAATAATAAATTATCTAGTATTATAAGAATATTAAGATAGAAGAAAGAAGGTCTATTTAATTTAAGTTAAAAATTACTTAAAAATAACTAATTATAAAAGAAATTAATAAAAAGAAAACTAAAAAATATTATAAAGCTTTCTTAATTTTTTTTAATTTTTTTAATAAAAGTAATACTTAACTACCTTAGTCTTTATCTTAGTTTAGTAGAAAGGATTATTATTATTAGTAATAACTAAAGTAATAATTAATATAATTTTATTTTAAAATAATATATTTAGATTATTAGAAGATTCTTTCTCTATCTTCTCTTTAGCCTTAAGATTAGAGATCTACTTATCTATAACTCTAGTAAACTTAGCTAAATTATAATATATCCATTAAAAATTAATAAAATTATCCTAATCTTCTTAAGTAACTAGCTAAGTGTAATAGATTGAGTATAGCTTCTGTGTTATTTTCCCTTAATTCATATTATGCTTGCAGATGGCTATATTAAGCATACTATTTTTAATTATCTATTTTCATACCTTAAGATGCTTACAAAAGACTACTATAAATATAATATATTATTAATAAAGATATATATAGACCCCCTTGTCTGACAGGTTAGGAAGATAAGGATTAGTCTTATTATTAACTAATATATTATTCTACTATACTATTCTAATTAAGTACCCTATCCTTTATTATTTCTAAGAGGCTTACCTAGTTAATAGGCTTATCTACCCTATCTAATAGATTATCCTTATAATTTCTAATCCTTCTTCTTTAACTACCTAAGCATTAGTCATAATGCTTACTAATATTAATATATTAGGGGAGGTTATTCCTATATCTCTATCTTAACTATAGGAACCCCTTAGTAATATACTAACTAAATAATAGAAGAATATAGATAATATACCTTCTAAGAGAAGTAAATCCTCTTCTATAGCTATAAGGCCTTACTAGATATCTAATAAGGAAATCTAATAGCTATTCTAATATATTACTATACTTAAAAAGAACTAGTAGATGCAGAAGTCTACTAATAAACCTAAATATAAACTAATTATCTACTAAAATAATATCTATATCCCCTTTAAGAATAAATAAGAGGTTAAGTTTAAGAATCTCCCTACTTTTATCTTAAAGTATTCCTTTTAAAAGAGGGAAGAATAGATCTAGAATATAAAATATATATTTTAGAGAGCTCTAAAGAAGTATAGACCTAATAAATTTAAAATTATTACTATAATCTTATAAATAGAATTAATCTATAGGCAGAGATGGTATAGTAAAGTTAGGGAACTATTAATAGAGGATTACTAAAATACTAAGTATTTTTAATAGTTCTTTTAAGAATAGATAATTAACTTAATTTAGGATTCTATAACTATTAAGTTAAAAATAATTATATAATTATATAATACTAATTAATACTCTAATAAAGACCTATAGGAATTTCATATCTATTTAGATATATTAGAATAGTATTTTTCTTAATATTCTAAAAAGTAATAGGTACTAAACTTCTTTAATTATCTTATAATAGAGTTATATATCTATATATAAGAGCACCTGGATATACTATCTAATACTAGAGATAAAATAGTATTATAAGTATCTAAATACTAGACCTTACTCTAATAGAGATAGAAATAAAAGAAGAAAGAATTAGGGAAGCCCTAAGAAGATAATCTATCTAAATATTTCTATCTTAATAATAATAATAGATTAAAACCTTAATAAAACTAACTTAATAAAGATAGTAAATCTTTAAAGTACTATAAGTATAGAAATAAAGAATACTTAGTAAATTAATATACTAAAAAGACTACTAAAGTTTAACTACTTATAGTAGAAAATAATAAGAGGTTAGAGTAAAATCTATATCTTTAATCTCCTACCTAGAAGTAGGGATAACTTATTATTTTTATATTCTAATAAGCTTAGTAAATAGTCTTAAAATATATATAGACCTAGATAGTTATATTAAGGTTAATATTATTAGTATTACTTTTATAAAGTTCTAAAAACTATAATAAATAAAATTTATAGCCCTTATTATTAAAGTTATTAATAACTTTATTACTCCTACTTATAAGGTCTAGAAAGTCCCTATTTGTAAAGGCTTGGCTACAGCCTAGCTACTTAATTATGCAGCCACCCCTTGCATCCTAATTATTTTTAACCTCCTATTTTCATACCTTAAGCTGCTTTTAAATTATTACTAAATATATCTAGGATAGATAATAAAGATAAATAGTATTCCCCTTATCTAATATTTAAGAAGATAAGGATTAGTTTTATTATAAACTAATCTACTACTCTCTATCATTCTTTTCTATTAATTATCATTACTAATTCTTACCTAGTTAATAGGTTATCTACCCTATAATATAGATCCTTATAATTTCTAATCCTTCTTTTCTTTAACTACCTAAGTATTAGTTATAATATCTACTAAATTTTACTATAAAGCTATTACTTCTACCCCTTTATTAGTAAAATAATATAGTCCTATTAAAGAAATATCTTCTAATCTAAGTAACTTCTCTACTCCTACTAATTAACCTTAAGGGTTAAAGGGGGCTAAATTATAATAAATTTTATAATAAATTACTAAACTTAAATATCTTTAATAGATTTAAAGAGTTAATAAGTCTAAATAACTCTCCTACTAAAATAACACCTTCTCCTTAATAGAAAATAAGCAGGAAATTAAATTTAAGAATCTTCCTATCTTT